TGAGTCTTTGGAATGTCTTCCCCCGGAGAGTGACATGATCCAGTTTGACTTAGAAAAAGGGGGAGGGAGTAAGATTGCAGTTAGAAATACCAGTTAGGAGATTGGTGAAATAATCCAGTAAAAAACTAGGGAGGGCCCAGAGCTTCTGAGCATTGTGAAGCAAAGGGGAGGTAGGGAGGGACAGAGGGACGGAAGGAAGGAAGGAAGGGAAGGAAGGAAGGAAGGAAGGAAGGAAGGAAGGAAGGAAGGAAGGAAGAAAGTAAGTCATGAGAAATTAGGATTGTCAGGTTGTGGTGACTAGTTGAGGGCCTGGGCAGATGAGGGTGTGGGGGCGGCGGGAGGTTCTGGAATGACCCCTGGGTTTGCAGGGTGGCCGGATCCCGCAGTGGTGAACTGAGTGTGATTTGTGATTCTGTGAGCGCTTTACACCATATAGAACACGCTATTTATTGTTTACTTCCTATTTGGGAAAAATATGTGTTTATTCCAGTTGGGGTGCATAATCTTTTATAACTAGATGGCCTGGCTCCATTTACTCTGTGTCCCAGGAGCTGTGCACTACAGGTGTGAGCAGTGTCTGTGGGATTGGATTGAAATCTAACATGGTTTTACTCTAAGTGTCTTTAATGCTTGGAATGTTATACAATTTCAGACCTGAGCAAAAGTTGGTATCAGTGCATAAGACGGAAATTCTGTCTTCAAAATTCCCAGCTTTCTTGTGTAATTTTATTTAATATTTTATCTTCTGAATTACAACTTGGTTTATGGAATGACTCAGTATCACAACAGACAAGATGCGAATTCTCCGGTGGTTGGTAGTATAGTAGAGGTGTGCAGACCCGGGAAGTTTACCACAGGTGAGGCTCCGTGGGGCAGTAAATAAAAGATCAAAATTAATATCAGGAAGATGAAGTATAGTCAACCATGCGTACCAATGGCATTTGGTCATAAAATGAAACTGATTTCGTTCCTGATCTTCACAAAACTATATAGTAATTTACTAACTTAATCTCGTGTGCAGTTCCTTTACTGACTCAGAATGTTGACCGACTACCTCTTATTTTTCAGATTTATTATAATGCAGATAGAAGGCTGTTTAGAGGATCATAACATTTTTGTCTCTTTTGCTGTTTTTGTTAGATCTGCATTTTCTTAAACATTTTTTGTTTCTTTTTGACTCTTTAGTAGCTGTGGTACTTAAATCTTGCCTGCCTTCCATTTCACTTTTCCCTGAGAAACTGTGCATATGTATATAATTTCAGCAGTTTGCAAGCTCACCCGTTGACTTTCTCAGCTAAAAATCCTAAAGGAAGCTGGAAATTCTTATCAGAAGAACCTGTAAGCTGTCTGTCATCGCTCCATCACTCGTACACACCCCAGTGTGCGGGTGGCTCTGTTGGGACCGAGGCCAGTCTTACTTTAAGGCCCTTGTTAAGTATTTCGCCGGGACCAGGGAGAAATGGGGGGAAGTGGCCTACGTAGAGAATTTTAGAGAAAGCTAGTTGTTACATTTACATTACATTACATTACAATTATTTTTATTCGGAGATTTTTAAATTCCAAAGTATCCTCATTTTAGTAAGTTGATGCGGTGTTTCCTCCCTCCCCAACCCCCTCCCTGGCAAGTAGACCAAAATATTTCCAACCAGTTCTATATTGATTCCTGCAGCCTATTTTTGAAGTCTGTGGGTTCATGAAATCCAAAACTAGGCGCCACTGGCCTGTTTTATGCACACCTGTAATCAGAGTTGGCATATGTGTGGTTTTCTTCTCACACCAACCGCCACTTCTTTTTTCCAGTACCAACTGACACTGACTCTCTGGAGTTAGCGTAGCTGCCACAGGTTAAGGGCTCAGTCCCCTGGGACTGGCCCCACTTCAGGGACCAGCTGCCGATGGGGTACTTAGGCTACCTGCACATTTAATGCCCAGATGACCACAAATTCTGATGTTCCTACCACCTCCCTTCAGGTTCAGTAATTTGCTAGAACAACTCCTAGAACTCAGAAAACTGCTTTGCTTACTGTTACTGTTTTTGTTTGTTTGTTTTCAATAAAGGATATAATTTAGGAACAACTGGGTGGAAAAAACACGTAGCACAAAGTATGGGGCAAGCACAGAGCCTCCATGCCCTCAACCGGCTTGCCACCCGGCCAGCCCTGCTGTGTGAGCTCGTTGGGGTGTTTTGATGGAGGGTTCAATTATGTAGGCATAATGGAGGACACTATTGCCCATTGGTGAGTGAACCTGATCTCTGGCCCTTCTTCCCTCCCCAGAGGTGAGGGGTAGGGTGGAACTGAAAACTTCCACCCTCTAAGCATGGTATTTCTGGTAGCCAGCCCCCATCTTGAAGCATAGAGCTGTTGATTAGCACACCCGAGACACTCTTACTGCCTGGGAGATCCCAGGGGTTTTAGGATCTCTGTGCCTGGAGCTGAGACCAAGAGCAGATAATTTCTATTACAACACAGATGTCTGTCTAGTGAGGAGAGGTCCTCAGGTGCTGTGGAATGGAATTGGAAGGACTTGCCTTGCATTTGTCACTGAGGACCCCAGCCGGCGATGCTGTCCCTTCTTGTCTGGGCATTGCTGTGGCCTCTAGGATGACAAGAGTTATTTGGGCATAACCTGTCCCTCAAAGCTTGCCACACAGCCTTGTTACTTTTCCTTCTCTTTAATCTTTGGCTTTTCTTTGTGCTTCTTGGCTTCTCTTAGAGCTGGGTTTGTATTTTTAGCATCTCATTTTGAAGATTTCTTTTCATCTTCATTAGAAAACTAGTCAACTAATTTTGGCATTTGTGTCCTCTCTTGGCTGCTTGGATGTGTCCCTTTGTCTTTGTTTCTGTGGTGATAGCTTTCCCAGGGAAATGGAAGTGACCAGACATTTGATTGCTAAGTAGTTTGTATGTATCTTGATTAATCAAGGATTAGTTAAAGCTGTTGAGTTAACTGTGCTTCACTATTTGGAATGTCTCCAGCAGCCCACTCCAGAGCAATGGTGGAGAAAAATGGAGGAAAAAGTGGGGACAGTATGTCTAACTCTCTTGGTTTTAGATTTCCTATGTGTATTTAAAAGGTTTTTTTGTTTTGGTTTGGTTTGGTTTTTTTAGTCATGGAATGACTTAATTTACAGCAAAAGGGGGTTTATTGCTTTGGCTTCTATAATCCCACTGGGACTTCTGCAGGAGATATTGTATTATGAATCTTAGGAAACATGTGTCCAAAATACTAATTTTTTTTACAACTGGAAAATACTGTTTTGTTATTTACGATTAGTAGTAGATTTCTTTCTTGGATGATATGCCGTAAGGGGCACTTTGCCTTAGCTTTTTCACATAATCTTTGTGTGAGGTCCAGAAAATGCTGTCACTTCACAAGTATTTCTCTTGTGAGTGATGAAGAGGTTTCAACTTCTGTGCTGACAAATGCTCTTTAATCTTAATTTAGAAATAATTCAAGCTTTTGTCATTAACTTGTTTTTATTCCCAGGACTAAGAGTTTACCAAGAAATTTCAGTGCAACATAAAAATTTAGACAGTACCACTCTATTTCAGTGTGTGTGCTGCACAAATATTGTTACGAGTTAGTTTTTGTAAAGCTTCTCTGATGGAAAATTAGAAATAATGATGTTCTGAAGTGACCGTGTTGCTCAGTGCTGTGACCCTTGTGGGTCTCCCCTGTTCTTCTGTCATCAAGTCACACGACAAGAGTAAACCACAGGCTGTTGAGGGATGGGGCAGGAGTGTGAGGAAGAGGGGAGGGCCTGAAAGTGACTTGTTTTTGAGGACATTGGCCAAGAACCCACATGAATAGTTGTTTAAAATCTTTGAGGCTAAAATTGGTAGATGAGTGGTGCTTTTGTTAAGGATGAGGTTGGATGAGCTACTTGGGGGCATCTCCATTAACTTCTGCTTTAAGCATCAGATCAGTCTTCACGGTGGAGATTGTGTTATTTTAGTTGGGTCAGCACAACATATCTGTTTTCTTCTGTTGCTCACTCTTGGTATTTGATTCTTTAAAAATAAGATATAGTATGAAGTAATAAAATTCAAATCAGCCTTTTTTTTTTTTTTTAAGATTTTATTATTTGACAGAGAGAGAGATTAAAGCGCTGAGCAGGGAGCCCGATGCGGGGCTCAATCCGAGGACCCTGGGATCATGACCTGAGCCAAAGGCAGACGCTTCACCCACTGAGCCACCCAGGCACCCCTCAAATCAGTCTTTTTTCCCCTAGTGGTAGTATAGAGTATTTAAAAGATGAACCTAGTACTTAATAGGAAATTAAGATCATCTCTACATTTTATTTCTGTATCTCAGTCTTACTTGGTAACAAATAGTTGAAGTAAAGCTGAGATTTAGATTCTAGCATAGAAATAGCCTTTCCTTTAATATTTGTCTATGAAGGTTAGAATTAAAACTCTAGAAGGATCCTTAGAAATTATCTCGTTTTTACATGAAGAAATTTAGGACATAGGATGTTGTCTTGCCCAAGTGGAAACAGGGACTTAGTCCCATTGCCACATCCATTGATTGTTAGTGGCCACTCCATGTTTCAAGGGGAAGATAGAGCTTATCAGAATTTGTTTTGTAGACCTAGAAGCAAGCCTGATGGTAAAACTACTCTTGGCCAGTAAAGAGTGGGTAATCACAGGTCACCAGTATTATAAACAGATGTCCAGTTGAACAAATAATGGTTAATTTATACTTGTAGTTGTATTCAGTTTCATGAGTGTATTAGATACTCAATGTATTCAGTTAGAAAACAGTTCTCGTGTTGCTTTCTCTTTGCTCTTCGCGGATCCGGACCTCCTCCGGTCCCTCATCACGCTTCAGTTTTTGGTCTCTTCTCCCCATCAGACTCTGCCCATAAAGGCAGGAAGCCGCTGTCTTTCTTGTTCCAGCACCCAGGAAAGCACTGATTGTTGGCTAACTCTGTATAGCTGTTTGGGAAACTTAGCGTATTTCAAATATCTTAAGTTTGCGTATTTTATTTTTTGCAGTGAACAGAGTATCTGTCAGGCAAGAGCTGCTGTGATGGTTTATGATGACGCCAACAAGAAGTGGGTACCAGCTGGCGGCTCAGCTGGGTTCAGCAGGGTTCACATATACCACCACACAGGCAACAACACGTTCCGAGTGGTGGGCAGGAAGATTCAGGACCATCAGGTAAGGGTCTGCTAAATCCTTATTGAAAGTAGTCTAGAGTTACAAAAGGACGTGTAAAATAGTAAACCAAAGTCGTGCTTTGCCGGTGCAGTCAGCGTATATTGTGTGGGAGAACTGGGTACCGGTTTGCCTTCCCACCCTTTCCCCCTTTTAGGAGGCCTGAATTTGGGTGAGGATTTAGAGCTAATTGCACAAAAATGTAAGTAAGACTTTAAATTATGAACATGCATGAGGTCTTCTGGCCTGCCAGCTAACTAGGTTTGGGAATCTAAAGTAAATTTAGGACAAACAAAAATGTGAAATACCACTTAAGGAGCAGATTGTATGTTTAAGGAATTGATTTCCTGCTGAAGGTGTGGGGCTAGAGAAAGGAGTTGAAAGTGTAAATAGTTTCAGAAAATACTATTGAATTCGTGTATGATAGAAAAATTGTAGGTATTAAGGTTGTTGGAATAGTTAGGCTTTTGTGATGCCTATCTGGGATGAAAACTAAGCTTTTATTAATTCCCTAACCTGAATTTCTCAGAAAGGTCACTGAATTTATCAGATGACTTGATTCCTTGGGCCTTAACAGACCAGGAGCAGTAGATAGAGGAAAATGTAGATGGGGTCTTACTAGTATTAAGTATGTGCTGATAGCAGCAAGAACTTCTCTAAAGGACAGCTTTATGAAATACTTTTGGTTCCGGTAAGATGGTGGAATGGTGATGGGTATTAAAGAGAGCACGTTCTGCGTGGAGCACTGGGTGTTATGCACAAACAATGAATCATGGAACACTACATCAAAAACTAATGATGTAATGTATGGTGATTAACATAACAATAAAAAATTTAAAAAAGATGGTGGAATCAACCAGTCTTAGCCACATGCAGGAAAAATGGAACAAATTTCCAGCTGAGCCCTTAACTGAGGAAAGACAGGTCTCCACTGGGACACCCTGAGGTGTCGTGTGCACCTGGACGCTGCAGCAGCCCTGTGTTTTAGGGTGGCGGTTATGAACTGCGAACACCTAGGGACTCAGATTTGTCATGGGTGTGTGTGGTGACGGTGGGCCTGTGAGTGGTCGGGGTCTGAGACCACAGTTTGTGTGCGGGGCGGGGCTCTACCGCAGTGCGCACACCGTCAGTCTGGGAGGCAAAGGCGTGTGTGGCTTTCTGAAAGATGGGAGCCTCCAACTTCATTTACACAACCGTGGTCCGGAAATTAACAGACACTGGTGACGCTCCTGGGACACCTTGCAGAAACGCATGCAGTGCGGAGTCGTTCCACGGGTAGAGCACTTTCCCCGCTTAATGCAAACTGCCCAGCCTGTCCCCCTTCCTGCCTTTGCAGGGACCCTTCTCCCTCTGTTGGCCACCCTGAACCCCACCCTGCCCTGTTCTTTCCCTCCTTGGTCTCCCCCTCCCGCTCTCCGCCCCATTGTGCAGCCCTTCTCTGGTCCCCAGTCTGTGTACCAGGACCCTTTGCTGCTGGTTGGGAATCCAGGTGCTGCAGAGGGCTCTCCCTCCGGCACTGTGTCCCCACATGAGTCAGGCCCGAGACAGATCAGACACTCCCAAAGATGCTATTACAGAGAAGAAAGTGAACTGCTTTCTTGCTCTCAAACTTGCTAGAAATGGCTCAACATTTTTAATACAACATGTCAAACCGATAAGATATTTTTGGTAAATTTGATGAATTGGTCATTTCATAGTACTGATGAACAACCCTAAAAGTATCTAAATGTTGGCAGAAAAGAAAATGACTATTTAAAAATAGTTCGATTGAATCATTATGTTGTACACCTGGATATTATATAAATATAATGTTATGTATCAGTTATGCCTGAATGAATGAAAAAAATAATTAGAAATATGTCAGGAAATTTTCATATGAAACACTGAAATTTTTATTCATAAGTAAACTATGAGTTCTAGGTTTTGACAAATGGAATGTTTCTTGGAATGTTGGGAAATTTTATTTTATTTTTTTAATTATGTGTTTTTAATTATTTCTATAAATGCTAGACAGTCTGATCCTTGCAGGGACCGTTATTTATATAGTTCTTGCCTTCTGCAGTCTTAGGCACAAAAGTGTGATACCACTGAAAGAGCATTAAGGAGATGTCCTGACCTGGTACTGGAGTCTCAAACAAGCTCCTGGGACTTGAACTCATGACTCTTGAGATCAAGAGTCATGTGCACCCCCAACTGAGCCAGCCAGGCACCCCTATGTGCTCTTTCTTTCTTTCTTTCTTTAATTTTTTTATTGTTATGTTAATCACCATATATTACATCATTAGTTTTTGATGTAGCGTTCCATGATTCATTGTTAGTGCATAACACCCAGTGCTCCGTGCAGAATGTGCCCCCTTTAATACCCATCACCAGGCTAACCCATCCCCCTACCCTCCTCCCCTCTAGAACCCTCAGTTTGTTTTTCAGAGTCCATCCTCTCTCATGGTTCATCTCCCCCTCTGACTTACTCCCCTTCATTCTTCCCCTCCTGCTATCTTTTTCTTTTTCTTTTTTCTTAACATATGTTGCATTATTTGTTTCAGAAGTACAGATCTGTGATTCAACAGTCTTGCACAATTCACAGCGCTCACCATAGCACATACCCTCCCCAATGTCTGTCACCCAGCCACCCCATCCCTCTCACCCCCCACCACTCCAGCAACACTCAGTTTGTTTCCTGATATTAAGAATTCCTCATATCAGTGAGGTCATATGGTACATTGTCTTTCTCTGATTGACTTATTTCACTCAGCATAACACCCTCCAGTTCCATCCACATCGTTGCAAATGGCAAGATCTCATTCTTTTTGATGGCTGCATAATATTCCATTGTGTATATATACCACATCTTCTTTATCCATTCATCTGTCGATGGACATCTTGGCTCTTTCCACAGTTTGGCTATTGTGGACATTGCTGCATACATCGGGGTGCACGTACCCCTTCGGATCCCTGCATTTGTATCTTTGTGGTAAATACCCAGTAGTGCAATTGCTGGATCGTATGGTAGCTCTATTTTCAACTGTTTGAGGAACCTCCATACTGTTTTCCAGAGGGGTTGCACCAGCTTGCATTCCTACCAACAGTGTAGGAGGGTTCCCCTTTCTCCACATCCCCGCCAACATCTGTTGTTTCCTGACTTGTTAATTTTAGCCATTCTGACTGGTGTGAGGTGGTATCTCATTGAGGTTTTGATTTGTATTTCCCTGATGCCGAGCGATGTTGAGCATTTTTTCATGTGTTTCTTGGCCATTTGGATGTCTTCTTTGGAAAAATGTCTGTTCATGTCTTCTGCCCATTTCTTGATTGGATTATTTGTTCTTTGGGTGTTGAGTTTGATAAGTTCTTTATAGATTTTGGATACTAGCCCTTTATCTGATAGGTCATTTGCAAATATTTTCTCCCATTCTGTCAGTTGTCTTTTGGTTTTGTGGACTGTTTCTTTTGCTGTGCAAAAGCTTTTTATCTTGATGAAATCCCAATAGTTCATTTTTGCCCTTGCTTCCCTTGCCTTTGGTGATGTTTCTAGGAAGAAGTTGCTGCGGCTGAGGTCGAAGAGGTTGCTACCTGTGTTCTCCTTTAGGATTTTGATGGACTCCTGTCTCACGTTTAGGTCTTTCAACCATTTGGAGTCTTTTTTTTTTTTTTTTTTAAATTTTTTTTTTTTTTTAAGATTTTTTTTATTTATTTATTTGAGAGAGAGAATGAGATAGAGAAGAGAGAGCATGAGAGGGGGGAGGGCCCAAGGGAGAAGCAGACACCCTGCTGAGCAGGGAGCCCGATGCGGGACTCGATCCTGGGACTCTAGGATCATGACCTGAGCCGAAGGCAGTCGCTTAACCAACTGAGCCACCCAGGCGCCCCGTGGAGTCTATTTTTTTGTGTGGTGTAAGGAAATGGTCCAGTTTCATTCTTCTGCCTGTGGCTGTCCTATTTTCCCAACACCATTTGTTGAAGAGACTGTCTTTTTTCCACTGGACATTCTTTCCTACTTTGTCAAAGATCAGTTGACCACAGAGTTGAGAGTCCATTTCTGGGCTCTCTATTCTGTTCCATTGATCTATGTGTCTGTTTTTGTGCCAGTTACCATACTGTCTTGATGATGACAGCTTTGTAATAGAGCTGGAAGTCCGGAATTGTGATGCCACCAGCTTTGCTTTTCTTTTTCAATATTCCTCTGGCTATTCAGGGTCTCTTCTGGTTCCATACAAATTTTAGGATTATTTGTTCCATTTCTTTGAAAAAAGTGGATGGTATTTTGATGGGGATTGCATTGAATGTGTAGATTGCTCTAGGTAGCATTGACATCTTCACAATGTTGGTTCTCCCAATCCATGAGCATGGAACATTTTTCCATTGCTTTGTGTCTTCTTCAATTTCTTTCATGAGTATTTTATAGTTTTCTGAGTACAGATCCTTTGCCTCTTTGGTTAAATTTATTCCTAGGTATCTTATGGTTTTGGGTGCAATTGTAAATGGGATCGACTCCTTGATTTGTCTCTCTTCTGTCTTGTTGTTGGTGTATAGGAATGCCACTGATTTCTGTGCATTGATTTTATATCCTGCTACTTTACTGAATTCCTGTAGGAGTTCTAGCAGTTTTGGGGTGGAGACTTTTGGATTTTCCACATATGGTATCATATCATAATCTGCAAAGAGTGAGAGTTTGACTTCCTCTTTGCTGATTTGGATGCCTTTGATTTCTTTTTGTTGTCTGATCGCTGTGGCTAGGACTTCTAATACTATGTTGAATAGCAGTGGTGATAGAGGACATCCCTGCCGCATTCCTGACCTTAGGGGAAAAGCTGAGAGCTTTTCCCCATTGAGAATGGTATTCGCTGTAGGTTTTTCAGAGATGGCTTTTATGATATTGAGGTATGTACCCTCTATCCCTGTACTCTGAAGAGTTTTGATCAAGAAAGGATGCTGTACTTTGTCAAATGCTTTTTCTGCATCTATTGAGAGGATCATAGGATTCTTGTTCTTTCTTTTGTTAATGTATT